ATAGAAAATATTATATGAATATCTAAGAGTAAGTCAAAGAATATTACTTTAAGAATATCTAAGAGTATGCTAAGATTTCAAGCTAGTAGTAATTACAATGAAATTCACTAATACAATTTAAAATTCTAATTTAATATATATATATATTAGTTAGGATTTGATAATATATAATAATAATAATATGTAATAATAATTACATTTACCAGAACTGCTAGAACTATTATCACTGCTGAATGTACGAATTGCACCTTTACAGACAGCTCAAGAAGATAGTTTATTTATTTTGAATTCAGGTATTTTAGCAACTAGGCTAGTATAATGATCATCCTCTTGATTAATATGAATACATTTATCAGGTTGAACCTGACCACTACTTTTTCATCTAATTCATCAACCCTTATAGCTCGATCAATTTGTTCAATAATACGAGTAGCCTGAAAAATAATCAAGTTATTAATATATAATACCATTATTTGAATTGAATTATTAAATCAACTAGTCCTTAAGAAGTAAAGTATTTTGATATGGGAATTAAGACTCTAAATAGTTACTGCTATATATTCATAAAAATTAAAATTGGTGAATAGATAATCATTCAACACCAAATATGAGCCAACCAAAGTCTAATCTCAGAATCGTTTATGAATGGAAATCAATTCGAACATTACATGGTACAAATATATAAAAAAAATAATAATGCAAATTACCTCTTCAGATCTAAAAACCATTTCTGGAACATACAATTTTTTCTTCTATGCTTTTTGGCTAACATTTCAGCTTCATCTTCACTTATTTCAAGAGAAGTACAATTGATTTGAAGAATTTTGAGAATTTCTTTGTAAGGATGTGAGAAAGTAACCTCCGATGCCTTTTCAGTTCGTGCAACTGATTTCTAAAATTATATTAATAGTAATATAATATTATCAATTTATTTATATGACAAAAAAAAACTACTCACTCTATGGCAGCGTTGACTATGATGAAGTGCAATAATATTCTCTTGTGCCTTGCTGTGATTATTTTCTAACAAATTATGTTGTTTGAGCAAATAAGTAACATATGCAACACAAATTTTTTGAATAGTTAATGCTGTCCACGTTTCTCCTTCGGCTAAAAATAAACATATATATAATATAAGAAATATAAAATAAATAAATTATATATATATAAATTAGCATGATAAATAAATATCATAAATCCTATGAATCCTGTATATTATCATAGTTTTTACAATAGTAATATGCAAGATTCATAGGATTCGCAAAATTCACTTATTGATAATTCAAAAACAGTGATATTAACTCTAGCAAGATAAAATTATAGTAAAATGAATTAGCTTATAAGCATTTGGATTATTCTTTAGTTCCTGCTAAAAAAACTTTACATATACTTTAGTGATATCTCTATTATGGGGTACCACAGGAGTTTCATCTAAATTGTAGACATAGGTACGTCTTATATCCTTACTCAATCTTCTCTCTTTTTCTTTTTGGTTCATTCTAAATGTTAATTAATTTTTATATGAATTCTTTCTCGTAAAACTGGAAAGGATTTTTTTGTTTCATTTCATTGGTTGGCTATCTTTGGTGTAGTCAGTAATTTCTTCATCGGATTCTTCAATATAGTTATCATCATCGTTATCATCAACTTCAATAGTGTTAGGCTTAGTTAAAATTTTCTTTGAACTTTTTTGTTTATTTCATATTTTACTTTCTCCATAATATCACCAAGAAATTCATCCACTAATCTAATTATATCATTAGCCATAGTTTCTAAGTCCTTATTAATTTTTTCAACTATCTTTTCTGCTATTCGATCAAGTTTATGATCTAGTTCAGAATTGTAATCGATTTGAGAAACTTTTTCAGAAGAATTTTTGATTTTTTATATTTGGTCTTGGATCCTATTTAATATAGTTAAGAACTTAGTGTTTTGTTTTTCTTGATTAGCTTTAGATTCAATAAGAATTGTTGTTAACCCTTCAGTGATAGTTGAAAGACTTAAAGTATCTTCTGCGATATGATTTACATGCGTGTAAATATTTGCAGTAGTGGGACAAGTTATGTCTTCAGTTTTAGTTATTTTAGAAAAAGTATAAGATCTAAGATATTGTATGACAAATGTATTTATGAAAGTAAAAGGTAAGAAGTATGAGTTAAGTGAAAGGTAAAATAGGAATAGGAAGCTATAAATCAAGCGAAAAGTAAAATAAAAAAAGGAAACTCTGAATCAAGTGAAAGGTAAAATAGGAAAAGGAAACTATGAATCAAGCGAAAAGTAAAATAGAATAAATTATGCGAAAGGTGAAATAGGAAAAAGAAACTATGAATCAAGCGAAAGGTGAATAGAAAATGAAACTATGAATCAAGCAAAAGGTAGGATGCGAAAAAAAGCTTTGAATCAAGAGAAAATAATATATATATATATGAATTATTCTTTTATACATGTAATTATATAAATATAATGATAATAAATATGATAATATAATTTATGATTAAATTACAAAGTATATAACTTATGTAAAATATATTTTAGATCATTAGATTATTTTTCAAATATAATTATATTAATTAATGTAACTATTAAATAATTTTTCAAATATAAGTATATTAGTGTAATTATATTAATATAAACTAATAAAATTAATTTTATATAATTAATAAAAAATATATTTTTCTTTTAAATTTGTTAAATATTAGAACTTACAAGTAAATATAACAGATAAATTAAAACTTTACTATTGTGTATTGGTTGACTTCTTGGACTATGATACATTTCATATATAGATAATATTTTAATTTGATTCTAAGTAGTATTGTTAAAGGTGAAGAAAATAAATTTAAACTATTTTTTAGCAGTACTCTATAATTATTCTATAATTATTGTTCGTAAATTCTTTTTGCAATAACAAATAAATATTTTAGATTCATTCTGCTAATTTTTGTTCTGCATGAGTGAAAACCTGTACCCAATCATAGTAAATCATTAAATCTATTTCCAGGTTTTCAATCTTACACACTCATCTTTTTTTTCTATGATCCAAATAATACTAATAGAGGTTATACAAATTTTATCCAAAATCTGCAACTTTAATTGGTTGAACCTTATTTTAACTAATCAAAGTTGCAGAAAAGTAGATACTTGTATGGTTCAGGGTCCTGTTATACAATGAATATACATACAAATTTTAAATTATTTACTGCATCAATATTTGCAACACAATATTTTCTAGATCAAAGATTATTTCTAAAATAGGAATTAAATATTTACTCATAGTGATAACAACTACTAGTATGTATATTGGATCTGATTTTTAAGACCAAAGATAATATCCACGCAACTTCGTTGAGCCTTTGGATAAAACCTTCCTTTATGCAGCCTTTCACTCAGTGCACCAACTACCCTCAATTACAATTATTGCACATTTTATTCCGATTTAGCGCAAATTAAACATATTTTTACCCTCAAATACCCTTATCATCCTTCTGGCTAGCCAAGATTTGTTACTCTAAAACTAATCACTCTAATTTTGCCAGTAATTTACAAAATACCCAGCTAATTCCGATTCTAATTTGATAAAAATATATATAATATATTAGAAATTTAAGAAAACTATATGTATGTAATTAGTTTATAATTAGACAAAAGCAATCATCATATGATACTTGTCTTGAAGTATAACGTAAAGATAATGTATGCAGAGTTTATTTTAAAGTATACAGAAAATATATATAGTATATAATAAGAAACGTATAAATTGAATAATGATGATTAGTAATAGATCTTTTTCTAAACAAAGTAATAAAGACATTTCTTTCCATATGTAAAATTGATCAAGAGAAAGACATCGCTGGTAAGAAAATAAGAGGATTACTATATGATTAAAAGTTAATAATACAGAATATAATGAATTTACTTGCAATTACTAAATTAAAAAAAAAACAGAAATTGACCTTAATATAAGTAGCAGACATAATAGAATAAAACAAATCTACACTCCCTTACCTCTTCTTCATATTCGTACAAAGCCAGCTAAAAGTTATAAAAGTTCCTTGCCTATTACTTATAAATTATCAGCAAACAAATTAGATGAATTTTTAAATTTAAGCAAGTCAGAAAAATCAAATAAATATTCAAATGATTTAAGCAATTCAGAATGATACTCAAATGAATCAAATGAATTAGATCAATATTCTAGTAAAAGTTTAAGTGAATCAGATATAGATTGGGTTATTAATGAAGAAGACTCTTTACATAATTTGGAGAATAATCAGGAAGAGCAATTACTTGACAATATAGATTAGGAGGATAATGAGACAGAATATTTACATGATTATATAACTTTGGACAATTTGGAGGATTACAAAAAATATTTACAAGATAATGATAATGATTTGATGAATTCAGATAATAATACAAAGCAGAATATCCAAAAATACAAACTATTTAAGAGCCAATCACAATCTTTTAAAGGATTTAATAGAAAATACAGTTTGTATTTTCCAAATTTTACATCTACTATGCTCTTTTTATAGATTACAGAGCATATGATTTTTACAGCAGCCTATAAAGACCTTGTTAAAATTCTTAAACATTCAGATTTTTGGCCTGAACATGTTATTGCAAATATAAGACGTTTTTGCAAATAGAGAAATAGACTTCTATTACTCAAGGTTGAAGTTATACAGTTCCAATTTTTAGACAGCATACCCCATCAAATTCAGCTTCAACCAAATCTGCATATTCAATAATACCAGTAAATTATATTGAATATATTCTTAATAATCCAACAATTGTGCCTAATTTATACTTTGGCCCTGGTATTGTATATGATAAAAACATGAGTTCTGGTATGGTATACTCTGGCAGGAGTTGCCTTTATTTGGAGAAACTAAACTTTGTGTAAATAATAGTTGGCAGTTTTTTTTATTTTAGCAATAATAAAACTTAGT